CAGAGTCAGCAGTGCAAAACTCAGAGTCAGCAGTGCGGAAACACAGAGTCAGCAGTGCAAAACTCAGTCAGCAGCGCAAAACACAGAGTCAACAGTGCAAAACACATAGTCAGCAGCGCACAACACAGTCAGCAGCGCAAAACACAGAGTCAGCAGCGCAAAACACAGAGTCAACAGTGCAAAACACAGAGTCAACAGTGCAAAACTCAGAGTCAGCAGTGCAAAACACAGAGTCAACAGTGCAAAACACAGAGTCAGCAGTGCAAAAATTAGAGTCAGTAGTGCAAAAATCAGTCAGCAGTGCAAAACTGCTGTGGCAGTACAAATCTCATCTCTGTTTTGGCGTTCCATACACACGAGCCATTGGGTACACTGGGCCTACGGTTTATTAAATTCTTATCCAAGAAAACTTGTTCCACAATCAGAACCATAGGAGAGCGTGCCGTTTGAACCAGCACCGCGGCCTTAACCGCTCGGCCATCCAACACGCCATCCCACAAAATAATACCTTTAGCTCTGTCAATAATGAAATTAATTTACACAAAGAAAAAAAAAACAATTCTTAACTCAAATTAATTTATTAAAAGTTGTTTTTATTATAGAAACTCTACATCGAGCTTTTGCGGCATGCAGCACATTAAAATACCTTGAATTGTAACAAAACTTAATTGTCTCACTTTCTAATAACATGTCGTACATCAACACTAATGCTAGACCCACTTTTTAAAATTCTAGCTGCTGTTGTCCAACTTCGAAATATATTGTCGCACTTTTTAATAACTCACACTTTGTGAGAATAGAGTTTCGTCACATTATGTAAAGGTAACTCTCTGTCGCACATTGTAAGTTTGTAATAAAGTGAGCCGTCTTACATTGTAATAAAATTGTCACTGTTTATTATAAGCAATGACATGTTATTTTGATAACATGTCTCAAGTTGTAGAAAACAAGTTGCCGCACTTTGTATTATGGAAAAGCTACATTCCGCGACTGTCTGTTGTACTTTATAATATAGTATTCTGCAAACTGTCGTACTTAATGAATAACCTGTAACATTTTGGTCATACTTTGTAATATACATTATTCATACATAGGAACAATATACAGCACCGCAGGCTACATATGAAGTTAATATAAAGTATATGCCTATATATGATAGTTAAATTTAACATTTCTCAAGCTAAATTAAACTTTTGTGATGTAAAGAAAGTTGATGTATCTACACATATCAGACGTTATCAGGACAAAGACTGCTATCCCATTCACATCTTGCTAACCTAAAAAGAAAACAAATTTCATATCTCAAAAACATCATTTTTTTCACGTACCAAATACCTTTTATAAAGGTATTTTAATATTGTTACTTTAAGACACATATGACAAACAAGCACATCACATATGCCTTGGTCCAGGTAGATTATGGGGTGGGTCATACATTTACTTGTTAAAAAACATACTCTTTTCTGTGACCTCTCTCTCCCTCTGAAAGGAGATCATCATTTGCATACACTTTAACCCCTCTGCCACTCCACAATTGCGTATGGGCGTGTCAATCAGACTATACCTTAATCTGACCATGGACCTATTAATAAGGTTATTAATAGGTCCGTGATCTGACCAATCAGAATTTAATATTCAATAGCAAAAAAACTAAGCGGTGCCCCACAATTACACACGTTTACACTAGCACTTGTGGAACCATAGCAACAATGTCAAAGGGGTGGGCCTTATTGGAAAGGCCCATTACTGTTTTAGATTCTACTTCTTTATTGTTACATTTATAAGTTAGAGAAAACCGTAAGAACATCTTCAGAGATATAACTCACCGTCTCAGAATCTCTATCTGGAGTAAGTGATTGCTGTTAACTTCGTCTTCTGTTAATATGATAAAAGGCAAACATACACAGCGATAACACGTTCCAACAATTTTACTTACTCCACCAGGAATGATTTCGATTATGCCACCAGCTTCGGCAACGCAATCTCCTTCAACTGTGCATTTTAAAAACACATTTAACTGTGAGATAATGATTTAGAAACGACTGTATATTACAGCTGATGATCGCATTAAAAGTTTTTCAGTTTCTCTTCATTCCTAGGTTAGGGATGTGTACATTTTCAGATGGCAAACAGAGTGAATCGAGTTGCGTATGGATTAGGGTTGACTACAAAAAAGAATAACTTACCCCCAGCCCTTGGCACGTTCTTTTAATTTAATTTGTTTTAATTGATAATGTACCGGTAGCTAATATAATATTAATGATATATCTGTATAGGCCTATTTAGTCAAGTATGGTATTGGCGCACAGAGACAGCTTGTGTGCCTTATTCTTATTATACTATTATTATTCATATGAACCATTCTCAAGACAGAACATTGGTAATCACTGACAACAATCGATGATGTATGACAAACTTAAAATAAATGATGATTAACTGATATAAAATACTGTAGCTCGCAATCTGCGACATAATTATTATTTTCTTATCAAAATGTTACTGATGATTCTAAAAAGACTCATAAGAGATGAGCGTACTTGTATATAAAAATTAATCTCAACGATTGAATAAATGTACATGTAACTTTACCTGTTGGACAGACCTGGCACCCACAATCGTAACTAGGAAACAGACACCTGTTTGATATTTCACAGCTTCGTTGAGGGCGGCAAATCTCTTGGCCAGAGCTCCTTAAGCAGAAGCAGCCAACTGCGCATTCGGGAATGTCTGCTTCGGTGTCGAAGATGTTGGTCGAGTTGTAATCTCCACAGAAAGTGCCATAGCAGGCACTGTAATCACACGCATGACCTCTAACAGAATTAAAATAATAAATTCAACATGAACTATGACAACCATAACAATATAAAAACCATAATTCAATAATATCAATAACGGTAATGGTAGGCTATGGCAAGCAGCAACAACAGTGACAACAACAACGATAAAAACAGCAAGAGCAACATATCAACAGCAGCATCAGCAACAACAACATCAACAACAACAACAACAATAATAACAGTGGATGTGTAAACATATACATGTTTAGAGATTGTGCAGTACAGTGTTAATTACAAAGTCCATAATAATATCAAAATAGAATTGTATACTAGTCCTCTACCTGTTTGGTAATACTGGAATTTGTATTCCTGGAATAAAAAATGGGATTGGATCAGATGGAGCGTCACAAGTACACACAGCGCAGCCTATATTCTGAGGACCGTCACCAGATATCAACACGTCTTCATTCCCAAACGATTTGGCGAGACAATCATCAGCTGCATAATGTTTAAAACAAGCGTTAGTTTACAATATTCTAATCATCAAGAGTCGAGAGGATACAACAAGCGTTTTAAAAAAAACCCGACGTATTTAGCATATATGCAATAATCACCTGCATTTTCACATACGGGACATCCACAGATGTAATTCGGATTTTGACACTTGTTACTCAATAGGCATACACTATCTATACACAAATCCTGGTTATCGGCTCTGATGCAGAAACAACCGAAAGAACAATCTGGGATATCGGCTATAGTGTCGAACACTTCCGACTCATCACGTCCCTGGCAGGCACACTGGGTGTAATCACATGTTGAGGTTCTATGCAAATGATAAATCAAAATCCCAGATTAACAAAATGTAAAAGGTGGTGTTAACATTTCAATTTCAAGACTGTGAAGAGAATGTATTTTTCAGTCCGTTTAACGAATCTATGTTTGCAAGCCTTATTTTTTTTTTACAAAAGAAAACTTGTAACGATCAAAAGATTCTAGTTCAAGCACATATATAATCATAATTATCAAAATAATTTAAATAATTACTATTTTTATTTCTCCATGAGAAGTTCGACATATAGCCTACTACGTAAATTTGACCCAAACAGATTAATTTTGGAACCAATTTGGCAGTGTAACATCTTAAAATGAGAAAATACAGTTTAGTTCCAACAGCATTATAATGCTTAGTTTTACCTGAGCGGTACTATTGGAATTGGTGTTGAAGACGTGAAGAATGGAATAATGATTGGTTCAATTGGCAGGTCACAAGTACACACGGCGCATCCAACTACTTGAGGACCACCTCCAGATATTAAAACCTCTTTGTTGTCGGATGATTTGGCAAAACAATCACCTACTGTAAAATGATAAATTATAAATAATAATTTAATAATCATTAACAATAATTGTATAAAATTATTGATGAATCAAATTAGAACCAATAACTAATGGTTACCTGTATCAGTGCAGGTTGGACATCCACAAACGTCAACTGGATTCTGACACCTGTTACTCACTTCACATGGACCTGGATCTACGCACAACACTGCATTCTCAGATCTGATGCAGAAACAACTAAAGGTGCATTCTGGAATATCACTTATGTTGTCGAACACTTCCGACTCATCAAGTCCCTGGCAGGCACACTGGGTGTAATCACATGTTGAGGTTCTATGCAAATGATAAACCAAAATCCCAGATTAACGAAATGTAAAAGGTGGTGTTAACATTTCAATTTCAAGACTGTGAAGAGAATGTATTTTTCAGTCCGTTTAACGAATCTATGTTTGCAAGCCTTATTTCTTTTTTTACAAAAGAAAACTTGTAACGATCAAAAGATTCGATTTCAAGCACATATATAATCATAATTATCAAAGTAATTTAAATAATTACTATTTTTATTTCTCCATGAGAAGTTCGACATACAGCCTACTACGTAAATTTGACCCAAACAGATTAGTTTCGGAACCAATTTGACAGTGTAACATCTTAAAATGAGAAATCACAGTTTAGTTCCAACAGCATTATAATGCTTAGTTTTACCTGAGCGGTACTATTGGAATTGGTGTTGAAGATGTGAAGAATGGAATAACGATTGGTTCAATTGGCAGGTCACAAGTACACACGGCGCATCCAACTACCTGAGGACCACCTCCAGATATTAAAACCTCTTTGTTGTCGGATGATTTGGCAAAACAATCACCTACTGTAAAATGATAAATTATAAATAATAATTAATAATCATTAACAATAATTGTAAATCATTGATGAATCAAATTAGAACCAATAACTAAGGGTTACCTGTATCAGTGCAGGTGGGACATCCACAAACGTCAACTGGATTCTGACACCTGTTACTCACTTCACATGGTCCTGGATCCACGCACAACACTGCATTCTCAGATCTGATGCAGAAACAACCAAAGGTGCATTCTAGAATATCACTTATGTTGTCGAACACTTCCGACTCATCAAAACCATGACAGGCACATTTAGAGTAGTCACATGTTGCAGTTCTATGAGCAAACCGACCCAAACGATAATGTTACATAACCATATGAAATTAGACACAAAACACTGAACAAAAGCTTTGCATACCAGATACCATGATTGTTTGTTGTAGTTTTAATTGTAAAGAAGTTATAAGTTCGCAATTCCTTTTCGACAATTGTATAATTTCTGATTGTATGAACCATATGAACCTACCTGGCCGGTATTATTGGAATCGGTGTTTCTAGTGTGAAAAATGGAATGATAATTGGTTGAATAGGTGCGTCACATGTGCACACCGCGCATCCAACATCCTGAGGACCGTCACCTGATATTAAAACCTCTTCGTTGTCGAACGATTTTGCAAAACAGTCACCAACTGTAAAATGATCGGTTGCTTAAAAGAATCTTTGAGCAATACAAACACGTATATATTAAAATTATCTTTATAAATGTATACGATTTATTTACACTGAAACCAATACATATAGCATTGTTACCTGTATCTGCACATGTGGGACATCCGCAAACGTCACCTGGATGTTGACATCTGTTACTCACTACACATAGTGGAGCTGGATCCACACACAATACTTGATTAACTGATCTGATGCAGAAACAACCAAACGTGCATTCCGGGATATCAGTTGCGTTATCGAACACTTGCGACTCATCAAATTCATAACAGACACACTGAGAGTAGTCACATGTTGCAATTCTATCAGGAAACCAATACAAACAACATTATTATTTTTTTAGAAGATGCAGCGCAAGACAAATACCGACTTAGGACCTGTAAGGGATGAATTGAAAGAGAGGACGGAGGAAGCTTGTTCTTGAGAAATTTAAAAGTTTTGAGAATACAGGAATAAGAGAAGCAAGACAATTTTACAGAAACGAAGTTCAAAAGATTATAAAAGAACGAGAGTTAGAAACATTGCAAATGGAGTAATTACAATTAACAAATTGTATTAATAGTTGGTGCGAGTCGCGACTGGGTTACACGAGTAGAGAGAAAGAGGCACGATAGATGATAGATATTAGCTCAATAGAGCATTTTTCAAAGCAGTGACGATAAAATTTGAAAAGGCATCAACACATCTGGTAGCACAAAGCAATTGTGTATTTATCCATACACCATTATTGCACAGAAAAGATTTTGATCCTCTTTAACTAGCGTAGAACTTTGGAATGTAATCTTACCTCTTCTGTATAGATGGAATTGGTGTTTCTGGCGTAATAACGGGAATGGTGATTGGTTCAACTGGTGCGTCACAAGTGCACACTGCGCATCCAACTTCCTGAGGACCATCAGCAGATATTAAAACCTCTTGGTCGTCGAAGGATTTGGCAAGACAGTCACCAACTGTGAAAACAAAGGATAAACACATTGTACACTTTTTAAATACATTATGGTTGTATACTACCATTCCAGTACATACTAAGATTAATAAGAGGTTTACCTGTATCTTCACAGACGGGACATCCACAAACGTCTCTTGGCTGTTGACACCTGTTACTCACTTCACATGCACCCGGATCTTTACACAGCACAACATTCTCATATCTGATGCAGAAACAACCAAAAGTGCATTCTGGAATATCATTTGTGTTGTCAAACACTTCCGAATCATCATGACCATGGCAGGCACACTGAGAGTAGTCACATGTTGCAGTTCTATAAGGAAACCAATCCAAACAATAATTCTATACAACCATAATATTGAAATAAAGTTGCATGATCGCAACTCTCTTTAAACAAGCGAATAAGTTTACCTCTTCGGTAGTAATGGAATTGGTGTTTGCAACGTGAAGGGAATGATGATTGGTTGCATAGGGGCGTCACATGTGCACACCGCGCATCCAACATCCTGGGGACCATCACCAGATATTAAAACTTCTTCGTCATCGAATGATTTCGCAAAACAGTCACCAACTGTATAATCAGGTACAATGTAAATATGTTTAAACAATACAAACACTTTTTACACAATTATAAACATCTTACGATTGTATACGATTGACCAAATTTCACTATATCCAATAATTATGAATGTTTACCTTGATCTGTGCAGATGGGACACCCACAAGAGTCAAGTGGATTTTGACACCTGTTACTCACTTCACATGCACGTGGATTTGCACACAATACTTGGTTAAGAGATCTGATGCAGAAACAACCGAAGGTGCAGCTTGGTATATCACTTATGTTGTCGAACACAATTGACACATCATGACCATAACAAGCACACTGAGAGTAGTCACATGTTGCATTTCTGAGAGAAAACCAATCGGAATCATTATTCTATATAACCAATATGTTATTATTATTATTATACAGAAAGCAGAACATTCCTTATCAAGAAGCCTACAGTTTTGCAACATATAAGCCTACCTAGCCGGTGGTAACGGAATTGGTGTTTCAAGTGTGTAGATGGAATGTGAGACTGGTTCATCTGATGCGTCACATGTGCACACTGCGCATCCAACATTCTGAGGACCGTCAGCAGATATTAAAAACTCTTGGTCGTCGAATGATTTTGCAAAACAGTCACCAACTGTGAAAACGAAGGTTTAAATTATTATATACTGTATACACACACACACACCCACCCGGTTGTAGATCGCATCCACTGGAATGCTCTCGCTTTTGTGTATATGGTACTTATGCAGTCAATGAAGTTCACCCTCCCGAATGAGATTAGTTTTTGTACTTCACATCTCCCCTCTGCAGTCGATCGAGTCGGCCTGAGATATGTCTGTCTCTTATACACATCTAGATGTGTATAAGAGACAGGTATAAAGGAAGGTGGTAATTCTAAGATTCGCAAATACTCTTCCATTGACTTAACTACCAAGGACAGAAATGTCTAAATCGTAACCGCAATGTATACATCTTGGTGAAGTAGGAGACTGTATCGGCCGATTATGTTTTTTTTTTTTACAAGTGGCTGCGGATATCAAATGGATTCAGCTAATAAGCAGGATGCCTCTTATTAAGTTTTTAAAAATGTGATGTAACACTTAAGTGACAATTATTTTACAATTAGTAAGTTAAAGATCAATAAATTAAAACTTATTGCTTGAATCTATAAAATACTTCGCTGGCATAAAACATCTTGTAGATTCTTATAAAAAAACAAAGGCATGATATTAAGAAACAATAGAGTAAGATTAGTATTTAATATCTATTTCATATAGTATTTTACTCTACCATTAAGATTATCATCAACATTGTCATCGTCATGAACATTATCATGTACATTGTCATTATCATCATTATGCAGGGGCGGATAATGGCAACCCCCCCCCCCCTCCACTTTTGGAAGGTAGAAAAAAGAAAAAAAAATTAAAGAAAGTAAAAGATAAAAAGGATCGCCCAAAATGCCTCAGAAGTTATTTTCGGGCGTTTCACGGGGGCATGCCCATGGATCTCCTAGGGTAGTATTATCTCGATCAGCCCCCGAGTAGCATTATATTATCATTATGAAAAAAATATAAATAATTAACAAGTGGCACAGTTCAAATTAACTATTTCAGACAGTTAACAGTTAATATACGGTGACCTCATAGTTGACGAATTCAGATATATTTTAACAATTTCTTTATCCATGACATACGTACCTTCTCTGTTCAATTGGAATGCGACCGCTAGGGTATCCGGCACTAGGCACAGCCTGCTCTACTGAATTACACTGGCAGATTGCACAGCCTACTACCTCTGCTTGTCCCGCATTAATTATAACTTCTTTCCCGTATTCGTCTACAGCGACACAATCTTGTCCTATTAATTAAAAATCCCCTCTACATCACAATAAAAAAAAATATGGCGGTAGCACAACTAAAAAAAAATCCATTGCATTTTAAGTGAATCATTGAGTGATTTTTAACTGATACTATTTGCAAGATATAGGACTACATAATCCGATATTAAATTTATATTTATCATTATTCGTTCCTCCTCATAATCATCATCAACAACCTCATCATCATTATCAATATCAGCGTTATCATCATTTTCATTTCTACTCTATTCTTCCTCCTCTTCCTCCATCATCATCAACAACATTCATCATGATCATCACTACTATCATCTGCATCATCATCAACATCCACAACAACATTACCATCACCATACCTCAACAACGTACAACACTATAACATTATTATTGTAAAGTTAGATTTGATGTTTTATGCTATACTGTCCGTGAGAAAATCGAAAAACAGAATTTGACTGTTCACGATTAATCTACTTACGACCATCACAGGTCGGGCACCCACAAGATATTGTGGGATTTGCACATTCAACAAAACCGCCACAAACAGGATAATGGCACACCGTATCGGACGATTCATCAGAACTAAAATATCCAGGCAAACGTACTACTCCTCCAAAGCAAAAACATCCAAACGTACATTCTGGAAAATCGTCTGTAGATGCAAAGTCTATTGGTGAACAGAGACTCTGAGCGGCAATGTTGTCGAACATCAAGTGTGACAGAAGAACCGTAAGGCAGACCGAATGATACATCTTCGCAGGCCTCGTCATGGCATTGAATTGCTGTATCTGTAGAAAATATTCTCATATATTCTCTTGTTCAGATCAAGATTAAAGATTGGTTGATGTAAGGCGGGTAGATTTAGTAAGATTAGTGTATGTTTGTCCACAAGTTAAGTCATATTGATCTCGCAAAAGCTTCCAATGGATGCCGTAAAATACAGGTAAACCACAGCCAATTTGCAATAAATTCAGGTTTTAGTACCATGAATGCTAATTCTATTCTCCTAAGGACTCAAAAAATTGACGTGCCAAAAGCCAGTGGTATAGTTAAATACTTCCAGTTAGAGCTCATGGATTTTTAATAGCAATTCTACTTTTTCCACAAAAAAACTTTTTTGTTTACAAAATCGCTTTAATTGGGTTAATTGTTCACATGCGCCTTTGATAATCATGTTTTTTGGAATTGGCGCCTTATAAATTTCTGCATATTATTATGATTATTATTATTATTATTATTATTATTATTATTATTATTATTATTATTATTATTATTATTATTATTATTATACATACTCCAAGTATCGATATGCACGCCATCGTGTCGGGATTCAATATTTTGATATTTATTATGTCATCAACAGGAATGGTGGAATCAAGCCGATTTCGCGCTTCTAAAGCTACTATGCCTAAACAATAATGACCACAACAGCGACGGAACGTCAGTGGTGTCAATATTAAAGAAACAAGCAAGTACTGTATACCCAGCTGGCGCACGTTACTATTTTAAATTTCGCTGAAAATGTAGCCAAGTTGACTAAATAGCAGTGCCAATTACATACAGAATTTTCTACGTTTAAAATTATGCACACATTTGAATAACAAATTTCAAAATCACTAATACGTCGTCATTATGTACAATAAAAAATAAAACAGTCAACAAATTACACATTTTGATTCACGGTGCTTTATAGCCAGGTCAATATGTTGTGAATGCATCAAATCATGAGTACATTACGACTCTAGAACATACCCTTACCTTTACCGCATTTCAAACACCATGAAACAATAACTTGAATTTTACATGACGCCTCCAATACCTGTCAGGTTTTCCAAAGACAGTACAGAATATTATGTTAGTTAAACCAAAGTGTAAGAAATGATGTAATTATAGGCAAAAGTAATCACTTTCTGAATACATTGGCAACAGGCACACATGAACAAGATCATTGACATGTTAAATTTATTTAAAGAATTTAAGTTTACTTTGCTGTTATTGCACAGTTATGGTTGATTGGTTATTAACAATATTATATAGGTGATGGCAATTCACCATGACCAGTGCTTTTCATAACTTGCATACCTTCGTCAATCCAATTTGACTCACTGTACCGTATATGTTTGTGTAGCACCACAACTCCCTGGTAGTACCAGTACGTGCACCTCCACCAACTTATTGTTAATTGGGACTATTTTGGCAAAACAACAATTAAGGTCTTCAGAAGAAAAACAAATCAAACTGAATCACTGGTATAGCCATGGAGGTACAGTATGGTATAGCAAGTGTTAGTTTGGTTGATGATAGTTAAAGACCAATTAAAATGATGCATTTTGAGTTGCTGATAATTGAAGTATTGCATATGTTTATCAAAGGAGTAGTAATAAAATTCTTATTTTTTCGTTTATAAATATTAAAAATTAGTATTAAAAATATTCGTATAAGCCCCGCCTACTGAAGATGGTCAGTGAAGCGTGAGTAGAGCTGATGACGTACACTCGGTATAACATCCACAGCAATACCGAAATCGTATAGCGCGACACATGAAAGAGGAAAGCAAGCAAAGAAATGGAGCTGTTTGAGCCATACCAATATAACATGTGATGACAATTAATCTGCGTCTTACGTTCTGTGTAAAGTTCTATCGAGATTCCAGTAGTCATTACCATTAAGTTGGCGTTAGTTGACTGCGTATCGAAAAACGAGATCTGTGTAAAAAAATGACCTATCTTTGTTGCGCTGTCAAATCTAGGAATTTTACAAGAACCATCGTTGGTCGTCTTAAAATGAGTGATCCATCAGTTGTTGGCATTAATGGAATGGTGTGATGCTTATTTTTCAATTCAAAAAGAACTTCATCAAAGACGAATTGAAATATTTTTTTCTGTTTTTGTAATTTGTCTTGTTTGACTGCATCATGATTGTTATGATGATGTCAATAAAAGTTACTTGTATTATTGTTATTGTAATTTAATAGCAAATAGACATTTAGTTTTAACTACGATATCTAGTTAAGACTAAGATATCTCACTTTTTTATGTAATTTTTGTTTGACTGTATAATGATCGTTATGATGATGTCAATAAATGGCAATAGTATTATAAAATATCTGTATTTAAAACTAAGATATTTCTATTAGCAGATATCCCTGTTAATAGGATTTTTTTTTAGTCAAAAAAAACAAGATATCTCTATTTTAAAATAGTACTGTAACTGGATTTAAGTAGAGATATCTCTTTTTATTAAAGATATTTCTATTTCATAAAACTAAGATATCTCTATAGAAAACTAAGATATCTGCGATTAAATTTTCCAGACCATATAACACGTTCAGAATGGTTACTTGTTTGATTACCCCTCCAAACAGGTCAATTGTGAGATTATGAACAGGATGTGTGTAAAGCTTTCAATAAAATTATGTCTTTTTCTTCAACTGACAGACACTGCATTAATAATTATATACTTTAAAGTATTAGTTGTTAAATTCTTAGTATTCAAACTATGGGACACGACCTAATTAAGGCTCGCCTAAAGAACTGTTCAGCTGCTGAGCATTTATAAAACGTATTTCAACTATAAATTACACTTTTCCAAATCAGAATAATGGAAGTGTGTGCCACCTTTATAAATTATACGATTATATCAAAATTGAATAAAACAATCGATACGTGTCATAAATACATCATACTGCTTTATTCATCCACTTTGTGTGAGAAAAGAGAAATCACAAAATAGTACACAAAACTAATTCTTTACCCGTTAACAGTTCACCACAATTAACTTTCGTGGTGCGTTTAGGTGTAGGCTGATTCAAATACCAATCATATTAACAAGTACAAGTCACGTTGACACTTAACATTTGTTATAAAAAAAAATATGTAGGAAATGAAATACATAATTGATACATGACCATTATACTTTTACCAGAAGTTGATGTTTTTTATTTAGACTTAATGAGATTAAACTATATTGAATTTTACTGCAGGGATTTGAGTCTCCACAAGACAGTCATATGTAGACTAAAAAAAAAAAACAATCTTGAAAGCTTAACACTTAGCTCTTTAGATATTTTATAACACTTAAAACATCAAATATACGAATAAGTTTTGCATATATCAATTGTGTGAGCTTTCTGAGATTGAGAAACGTCCTTTTCATATCAAGTTCCATCACATATCTAGTTCCATCACATATCTAGCGTCATGGGCTTGTAGTACCAAACGCTCATTTGAAGATGACTTTTTCCAACTTTATTGTAAATAAGCTTGATGCCAATCGGAACACATGTGTCCAATGCCATTTATCCTTGGGGATTTATAATGCCCAAGATCTATCGATGTCCACATTTACAACAACAATAATATTAATAACAGCAATAATACCAAAACTCGGATCTATTCATTTAAATCGTAACCACAAACAGGGAGCATCCCTTGATTTAAACTTTGAATGATACATTTTTGCAGCTCTGGTATACCTCCTTCCAAGCAACAATTTTACGTTATAATAACTTATAATAAAATTTACCGTTAGGTTCTAATTTCTTAGAGCAACAAATACGTATTTTTAACGTAACTTCTGAATTAACAGCTAAGTTTTGTTAAAGTTGTTTTTTGACATAATTAAACCACTACGTTGTTAATGTTCCCAAATTACATGTTGTGTTTGTTGAAAACATCCTTGATTTTAGATATACATACGTATTAGTATAGCGTACGTACACTGATAAGAACACTGCTTTGAAATGTTGGATCTACAATGAACTATGACAATACTGGTTTATATAAACGATAATTAATGGTATAACCCACCGACGTATAACGCCTTATTTTTACCACAGAAGTATTAGCGATAATAATACCTCCATAATAATACCATGTTTATATCGAGAGCACAAAAGTGGCATGCTACTGCAACCCATGACATCGACAGAGCAACTTAACATTTTCGGCAACTGTGGCGCAACAAGTTCAGCAGGTAGACAGCCAAACCATGGAGGAATTAGTTTACTAATTCCTCCATGGCCAAACAAACCGTGAATGTTACGTGCACGACAGTTTTTGTCGTATTGCACAACAGAATGTTTTTGATGCTGTCAAACCATTGTCATGCTTTATGTAAATAGGCCTTTAGTAAATGGATAAACAAGACAGTAACCCATGTCTTATTTACTTGATTATATCAGATTCCAAGAAATGTTTTTGAGGAAATCCTCAAGAATTAACCAGCAAATATATTGAAAATAGCATTGTTTCATATCCTAATGTTGTGTTGTTAGTACAATACCTTTAATATTAACAGGTGATATAAGTGACAATTGCAAAAATGATTGTAATATCCACAGACGATTGTCAATGCCAATAAATGTATATCTATATATAAAAGAAACTTTCAGAACTTATATGTAAGTTATAAGTTTCAAAATTATTACTGTATATTACAAGTTGGAATACTGTACTTAAAATATTTCTATGTAGCCAATTGCACACAGTCAACATTATACACTATGCAACTAATTTTAAGTTTATATCTTGTAAATCTATCATTTTCAATATTTTCTTAAGGTACTGCAATAGACAGTATTCCAAATCACAATTAAATCGAGAGATTATATGCAAATTGTATAAATTTTCTCTATTTTTATGGAAAAATTATCAGTTGGTTTTACATTTTAACTATAGTGCAAGTTATCTATCTGCTCGTTATCTATGCACTTTGAAATAGGCAGAGCTAAGTCAGTAAATTTACATTCAAGATTTAAGTTGTGATTTAGAAAGCGTTATAATAAATATCAGTATGATGGCAAGGTAAACTACCAGAAGTTAAAGCAATTAGCCAACTGATAGAAAAATTTAAATATATTAATCTTAACATGTTTCCATTAACTTCATCATACTCAAAATAACAGATACACATATCTAAATAAATCAAGTTAGTTTAAACCAAAGCAAAACGACTATTCATACTTTAAAAATGATAAAAAAAAAAAAAAACCACATTATAAACCTGTTTTTCCAAACAGTGCATGTTTGCAATATATCATTAAATCCTTTCGTATATACACTGCATATTCTCAAGTTAAATATGAATAAATATCTTAATTTTATATAGTAGCATCAATATAAAAAAGGCAAATTCAAGAGAAAAATTTTATATATACTTTATCACATTACTTTATACTGAATATCTACATATTATTTATCTAAAGTTGAAAAAGTAATTGGTTTCTGATGACAAATATTTAGAGTAAATCGGAATTCCACTTCACATGACAATTGCAGTACCGGCTGCAAACTGGGAGCTTTTAGATGAAAACGCATTGTGCTTAAAACAAATGCATTTTTCCAACGGCAAACGTGGTGCGTTTCGCACAATGTTCAAATAACTAGCCTTTCATACCAACCATTACGATATTGGTTCCCATTAACTGACACAAATAAAAATTATTGATCGCCTTCACGTTTAAAAAACTCTCAAGAAAATGGCTGTTTTCTCTCAGATCCTTGGATGGATAATATAGAAAGAACAATGACAGAAAAATACCCTTTATAATAATAAGTAAACCAGCTTTATTATTACACTGTTAAATGCTTGGTTCTCTTTACTCTGATACAATGTACAATAATAAATCGAATAGTAGACTTAGAAAATTAGATATCAAAATCCTATTCTAAAATGGTTTTAAAGAAAAACTGATATGTCTGTGTGGTATAGTGTGAATTTTACAGTGATCAACCCATCAAATCACTTTTATTACCACCCAAAGTGTCTTCAATTACTGGTGCTTATAAAATCACTGACAAAAAGTGAACACCTACATAATTATATATTTTTTTTTTATTTTGTGTTCTACAATAATTGAGATTAAATTAAATTGGTTGCATGGTATTAGTTCTACTCATTGACTGATGAAAAATACAATAACACACAACAGTGTTTCCTAGGTATTGAATCAAAAATTAAAACCAAGTAGCTTTAGCAAATAAATAAGTACACTTAAAATGTTTCTTTTGTAGACAAAGTAATGTAAAGCTTATCTTACATAACATTTTTTAGTAAAGCACCAATTTTTTCAGAGTTAATTTTTAAATGCTGAAAAAAGACTCGATGCACGCTACAATTTTGTTATTTTCATTTTACAATTCACAGTATGTCTTTAAGTGCATTATCCATCAGTGTGACAAAAAGGAGTCATATCTTCTTTAGTTATCAAATCTAAATTAAATCCATAACACTGCAAGCAACTTTCAATTCAGTATCAATGCTGATGTGTTTACAGAAATGTTGCACAAATTTCTCCCACATTTCAAATCTTTCCCACATCAAATGAGAAAACAAACATTTCGGTAGTTGAACAAGAAAGGCTACAAACATAGTTGCTGATTACACAATCAATGTTTTCTAAATGTAATCAATTTACATGTTCATAAACATCCTTAATTAGAGCTTCTCCCATTGGAAAAATTGATTTTCCTATAGAAACACTTTAACCAATTGATAATTGAGTTTATATACAAAGGCTTATAGATACAATTAATGTGATTTTCGCATAAATATTTTTGTATTTTTAATTAGTAGATGATTTTAATAATTTTACACATTCACTGTCTGTTACATGAAAAATACAGTGATTGGTTACAGATTTTATATTTTAACAGCTTTAAATTCATTATGTCTTTTTTTTTGTTGCTATCTACAGGTGGTCTGATACAAAGAAAAATATCCGATTTCCAATTCTATTAATAAATGCACTTAACATAAGTAATGTAAAAGCAAAATGTGTTTTGTACCATACCTTTCATCACTTTTTAAAGACACGAACAATTTTACATGTTCTGTCCTCTAAAGTTGGTTAAAAGCAAAACATTTAAAAACACTTGATCGATTTTAAAAGGTTTTAGTCCTATTGATGTTAAAATCAAATACAAATACTGACCTCTATAAATAGTAAGTGTAGCATTTTCCTTGTTGATACAAGATCGCAATTATTATTACATTTAGAGTATTATAACAACTATAGTGCTAACAATGTGATGAAGCAATGCAGAGTTTTGTATGTGTACTCAACAAGATGGCTCAAAGGAAAAGTCCCATGTGTAGTGTACATATCACAACCATAAATATGACCTCGGACTAACTATTATTTTGTTAATCATTATTATTCATTCGGTTGGGCGGTGTCACCCCATACTTCGGTTTAGGTGCTAGCTTGGTGTTTTTTGTTTTTTACCTTGCTTTTTAATTTAGCAACTTTTTTTCGTTGTCTTCTTACCTATTGTCGAGCACATAAGAACATGTTTACTTGTGCTATATAAATCTTTCCATCTATTATTATTATTACAGAATTATTATTATTATTGTTATTAATAAGAATATTATGAAATTATTATACTAGCCTAGCTAGGAAAAGGCAGAGTGGAATGGAGATTTAAAAATAAAGTACTGAGGAATGAAAATCGAAATCGTGTTTGCTCAAGTTTTAAACACACAGTACAGGTAACTTAGCTGTAGTCCTACTCAAAACTTTCATGTAAATTGAGGGTGCCACTGAAAAAGATGCTTTAATAGCCATATTTCGATTGGCTGGATCCAAAGCAGCCATCTTGTTGAGCACACACAAATTCTCTAGTATTCTTATTATAACTCTATAACAATAATAAATGAATAATAACTGTATTAGTAAATCATCATCAATAACTTTCTAATAAATAACTAAAAAAATATAAAGGAGATTTTATATTCAAATTATCATTTGCAAACAATATCAAATATAAATCAAACTTACAAAATTGCAAATAATACCTAAATGTCAAATACTTAAAATTTTTCCGATGCAGACAACCATAATCGGAAATTGTTCTATTGATTTTTTGATACAACACCTGGGTTTCCACAACCAAATCGTCTCAGTCAATTTTGGGTTTTTATTAATAATTATCTTTCTTTTCTGCTAATTGTCAAACCCATCTCTAAGATACCAACAGTGTTTGGAAAGCAAAAAAATAACCAAAATAAAGGTCCTATAATTAGTACCCCTAAATATGTGTCTGCTCCTACAAAGGGATAATAACAACATTAATTTTGGAAACAGTTCCATCGATAATTTGATATAACTCTTGTGATTCCACCACCGCATTGTCGATTTCTCTTATGTTTCCACCATTGAATAGTCTCAGTATTCTACATATTGTCAAACCCACTGGTGGAATATCAACAGCATTTGAACTGCAACTAATAACCACAACAAGGGTCCTACAATTATTGCCCCACTGCAAATATGCTGCTCCTGCAAAGGAAATAAAAAAAAAAAAAAATACTAAATGATGTATAGAATCAATAGTTCAGAATTAGTTTGCATGGAAATGACATGTTGAAATGTTAATCGAATGCTTCTAGAGAAAGGTCTGTTTTAGAATATGTATTTACTGTGTTGATTAAATTAAAACTATATATGTTAAGAAGTGTGAAATTAGGACTTTTTTACCAGGACTAATTTAAGCAAATATACTGCCAATGTTTGTAGAAATGACCACCACAAGTACTTTCTTTATGTTCTTTCTTTAACTTGTGTGAATGTTTTGGCGACATAAATTTGAGTTGTACTGACTCATAATAAGAATCTTTCGATTGCACAATGACGGTAGGACCCAAAAACATGACATAACAAAAAAGTCAACTGTGCATGTGCATGCGTCTAGTTCTCACTGTCGCCTGGGTTGTAAGACGTAATTTGGCATGAATCTACATTGTGCAGAGAATACAGGAAGGTCACGGATGAATGGACCCGTTCTAGGGATGAATGGACCCGTTCTAGTTTTATGTCATCGAGCAAATCGAAAGCTTCTCTTAGAATCAAGACTACAGATAATTCATTACCTTCAGTTTTTTATTTCAGTCTAATACTCTAGTAGAAAGTTAATATTAATATATAGCTATTTTATGTTTAACTGCATGTATTTTGGTCTATGACCTAGGGAAGTTCACAGTGGTGTGTCCAGAAATTTGAACTACAGTAGAGGGGCCTAGGGTTGGAATTTTACAGATGGAGGGTCCAAACAACCCAAGCCCCACCATTGTTGCATCCAAGGCACAAAATCTTATGCTTTGGGCACCTCTAAGTGGCTAGAAAAAGCTCTCCTTTTCTATTCTCCCATTTAAAAAAGAATTAATGAATGGGCCCCTGATCTGGTGTATGTGTACAACATAATTAAAACTGGCATGTGTATGAAAGCACATAATTAAGGTCTGCACACTTACACCTGGATGAGTATAAAAACAGCTTTTTGGCCGCCTTCGATACCTCGGATTCTTGGCCTCATCTTCCGGTTTCGGTCCTGGTATATTGGGGTCAAGGATCAACATGACACACACACAAAAAGATTGGCTAATTATTATTAATAAAATAATAAAATACTTTTATTGCCACACCTATAATTTTTGATAATAATAGTGACGATAAATGATTACAGTTTACCACTTCCGAAGTTTGGAAAAGAACTATTGATTGAGTTGAGTTGACTTTCTTCAATAATTATTAGGAGAATAATAATTATTATTTAATATTATAATATCACTACCCATTATTAAATAAAATATACACATATGTAATGCACTTGTCAAGTGTGTCTGGCCCCGGGCAATAGTGGGAACTTGACTGGAACTATTAGAAGGAAGGCTTGCATCCGAAAATGCATTGGAGAAACATATCCCTACCGGGGATTTACATAAGGATATTACCAGGAGGTAGCTGAGGCTTGTGCAAAGTCCCTGCTAGTCGCGTGTCCGGAATACAATTGACAAGTGCATAATGGATAACCAAACAGAAATTTACACTGATCAGGTTACCAAGTGTAAAGAAGTAAATGAATAGAAAAATAAAATAAAATATCTTTTATTAGGCTGTGTCCCCATTATCAAATTTAATGTGAAAAATAAATGTGATATGCCCATATTTGGGTATAATTATGACCATGCAAATATATATGCACTCTCACAGTTCTCTCATAAAAATTGATAGTGTGGGCAGAGCTCAACAGTGCAAAGGATATAATCTTTCTCAGGCTCTTGACTCAATGCTCTCGATGGGCAGTAGGTAGAGTTATCGGGGGCGTCCACTACGACTAACAGAAGGTTTGTAGGTTTAAGATCACTAGAATCCAGATCCAGCCTAGCTGCTTTCCAATTCCTGTGTTTAGAAATATATAGAAGTCAATCAGAATTGAAGCTCACAAATCAACAACAGCAAATACCAAAGCAGTATATGCAATTATCGATTTTCCTCATGATAGCTTTAGAAGTCAACAAGATATTACAATTATATAACAATATAGACACCACTAACACCAGCTGCAAACCACTGCTTGCCAGTGGTCTCAAATTGCAGGAAAACGGTGCGGTGATGTTGGTTTCCCTGCGATAGTCTGTTTCTGATTTTTTTTATTTTTAGGTCGCTTGGTTAGACTTTAGGATTTAGTTTTTGGTTTGTTTCTTTTGTGTAACTTATAGTGCATAGAGACCATGTAGTATGCGCTTTACAAGTCCCAAACCATTACCATTACTATTACTAATACATCATATAAGCTCTGTTACACATACCTTATACAATTTATTTTTGTAACATTGCCTTCAGCTGATTGCAGATTTCCAAAATGCCACAGCCTTTGTTTCTTTATGCAACTCTCGTTCCCTGGTGGTTTTTCTATGTTGGGCTCTTCTCCCTCCTTTGACTCGGTTGTTACTTCTTGACCAAACACTGTTTTAAATACGACAAGAATAGAACATATAAGCAAAGACACAAACAAGTTTCACTGCGAGAGAAAAATGTATTCCTCCCACAGGGTGTTGCTGAGGGCGCTAGAGATACTTGTAAATATAGGGGTAACATTTTAGCATTTATTGTGTAGAACCACACACTTAACGGCTGGTAGTTGGGGGAAGATACACCTAGATGATAACGTACAAATAACAGTGTGTTTGATGTGTTATGTTGCCGGCAGTACACTCCATTGCTCAAGAGGGGGGGGGGGGTGCCCTCTGAACATATACCAACCCATGCAAAAAACGGACAAGAAAACTCGCACTAGGCAGAGACAATATAAAAAAATGCTGCCCCAGTGCCGGAGGTGAGTTTACTCGTCTCCTAATTTCAGACACATCATTTTGATGATATATGACTAGATAAAATTTCGAAAAAGCATGTTTGTACATGTAAAATTGTTCTGGCGGGAAGGAACCTAAAAAATGGTGCGACAGTCTACGTGTTTAGGATAAACCAGATTTTCACTCTATGTATTTACCAGTATTTATCTGCGCTGTGACAAGTGAACTACCTTCTTGTTGTAGTGAGTAATCCTAGGCCCTAGGCTAAACAAAATGCCACAACAAAAAAAAAAAGAAAATAAGGGTGCATAAAATCTGCACTGCTTTTGGTTGTAGAAGTACTCAAAAGGAAGATGTGTCTGGAAAATAGAAATTTGCAACCAACAAGGTGTTTGATGTCCCCCACTGAGGATTTGCAAGACGTTAGTGGCGTTGTTTCAAAATAGACCAGATAAAATGGTGTATACAAGCCTCACCTGTGAAAATGCTGAAGTCCCCAGTCAAAATTTGATAAAAAATCTGCTTGACAAACGACCTGAAAAAATATGAATACTGATTATTGAAGGATGCTTAAGATGGTTATTATCGAGAGAGGGATAAACACCCCCTGTACCGTAATTCATGCCAAAACCAGCATCATTAAAACAAAACAAGAAAATTGACTTTGCCGCCAAGCCCATCTGGGGAATTCCATCGATTATGACATACACTGTCCAGCGACTGAACCGAGGTAACCCTGTTCAGGTCATCGGTCCATGAACTGACATTCATGGTTAAGCCAATTTGGTATCACAGGCGAAACATCAAAGTTTAAAGGTAATAATTTTACTTTTATTTCCCAAAATAATTTTTAACTCAGATTAACAAAATTAATTTGAAATATTTTAAAATTATGTGTCACTTATTGGAATCGACGAATGCCAAAGTTAAGAGTAAAAGCACTATGGCCTCTCTGTAATAAAATATACAATACTTATTTTAATTACTCAGTTTAAGATATATTGACAGTATGCTGGTTCTGGAATGGCATGCCTCACTTCTTGATACAATTACTAAGGCGAGACTTTCTTTATACCTTGAGTGAACCTGCCACCTGCACATAATGATGACTTCCAATAAAAATTTTATTTTGGCCAATTTAGCGCTGGAAATTTCAGAAAAAATATAAGTTTATCTTTATTTTCATTATGCCCACTGCTACTTTGAAATCTCCAAAAATAAAATATGTATATTTTTTCCTAATTATATAAATGTAAAGCATTTAACCATTTCATTACCACACTGTTTACATTTCACAAATAAAATTTTATTTTTACTTCCCCACTTCCCAGTCTGGCTGATTTTGGCAAAACCCAGGGAACAGTGAATTTACGATTTGGCAATACCACTTGCCAAATAAAAAAACAAAATTTTAATTATATTTTTTTCTACCTTCCTCTGACGATATTTAAAAAAATAGTTTGCGAAACAAGGTATATAAAAGATTTCTTGCCTAAAGTACAATAACATACGAAAACAATTAAAACAAATCAATAGATTAAAGGCCTACATGAAGCAGCAACCATTGTGGCAAACACTGCCGCAAAGTGAATGGAACTATTCTATATGTATTTTACTACACATTTTTAAAATAAAATATTTGCATTCGAAAGTGAATTAAATTGTAATTTTGAATAGCGAGCTTAACATGTTGATATTAACTGCCCCCAATCCTACAAATGTACCCATGATACTGAAGCACTCTTAAGTCTTACCATGAAGCACTTGTCACAAACCAGTTGAAGTTAATGAATTCTGCTATAGTAGGCTGTGGAAGAAAAATATAATTAAAGTTATGCATTCAAGGACCATCAATCAATGGAATATATAGGAGTCTTGAATATCTAGTACTAAATTGGACTTAATGGAAATTTCTTTTGTTTCTCTTTCTCCCTAAATTAAAGTCCCTTTAATGTTGTTTTTTCAATTGTTCTCTACTTTTCCATTGTATAATTTCCCCCTTAAGGGCAGGTTTTAGTAACAAAATAACAATAATAATAACAATAATGATACTAATAATAATAATAATAATAATAATAATAATAATAATAATAATAGTAATAATATTAACAATAATATATTAGTGGATATTGGTCAAATTACAGTAAATAAGTCAGTATAACAGAATTTAGCTAGCTGTATATGATGACATTAATGATGGTGGTGATAATAATAATGGTGGTAATGATAAACTTACTACATAGAATGATTTCACACCAAAACTGAAAATAGTTTCCTCACTTTCGCAGGAAGCTTGGAAATCATACAGCTCTTCTCTAAAAATGAAATATGCAAAAATCCGCAAAAGTTAAAGCAAAATAACTACTGGCTGATTTAGGATCTACTCCAAAAATTGTATTATATATGCATTAAATACTGTAGGTCAGAAAAATATTTTATCATGAATTGGACAAAAAACAAATAATCAAAATAAATAATTTAAAAAATCAACTTACTTGTCATAAATTCCACTACTGGTTAGCTGCCTCATTATGTCTCCCTCAAACATTCCAAAAAATCGACCAACCTAAATTGGAAAAAATCATATTACTTTTTATGTTATATATAATATAATAATGTTTTCTCATAAGGCCAAAAAAAAAATGTGTTGGCCATGCCCGACCGACCCAAATTTTATGAAATTTAGGGTTGGCATTTTATTTATTTATTTGTTTTTTGACAAGAACAACTTTTTCTTGAGAAAATAAGGCTGAAATAGCCTTGGTGAGGCTATGGGGCCAAGGCTAGCCTAGATTGCTCGATGGTACACGATGCAAATTCAAAATTGCTGTATTATTTGTCTATTTTCTACTTTTTAAGCGTAAACACATATTTTGTTGTAAAAAAAAACCAAAAAGTTTTCCTACCGAACTACTCATTTTTTGGATTTTCTCAAAACGTGGTCAACACAAAAATTTTTATTTTTGGTCTAACTGCTGTCACTCAATAGACCCTCGCCCTATGCCTGGAGACTGAACAATATGCAGACCATGTATGGCCGATTTCATTATTTTCTTTTATGCTTGAGGGTAAGTTCAAGGGGAGAAAAAATTTCCTTGACCTTGATCTTGTCCTTTGACCCTTTCTCAAACATTAACCAACTCTTTCTTAGATTATTACTGTATGTACTATTCTATTAAATTTTATGATGATCCATTCCTTAGTTTTTGCGTAATCTTTCTAATGGACACACACAGAGAAACATAGACAGTTAAAAAGAGGGTAATGCATAATCTTTTAAAATGGTGACCTACATTAGTGGTTGAATCGAGGTTACTGGAAATGAGAAATCCACCATCATCCACAAGGTAACAAATGATCCTCTGTAAAAATTAAAAAATAAGCACTTTGTATTTGTTTTTCAATCAATGAAACAAGTTTGCGATTAGGGCATGAACATGTCTTCTAATGCCAATGGTTGGTTTGCTCCTCTTCTCAATGCTTCAGGCCTCCACTGCTGATTCGGTAATTCGCATTACATTCTAAAATTTCAATGACTGAAGTTAAAATAAATATACATACAGATGACTGCCGTTATTGGGGAAACTTTAATAAATTTAATTGAGACGTAGGCCTACTAAAAAAAAAATCCTTCGAGAAGAAAATACAACCATATAGGCATAAAAATAAACATACCATATTTATTTGAATAAACACCCAGAGACGATTATTGTTGAAATGGTTTTTGAGGGGCGTTTATTCAAGGGAGGAATTTATTCGATGGAGGTGAATTTTTTTTTTTTTTTTGCATAAAATGAATATGTATATACTCAAATACACAACCCTGATTTCACAGTAAATGTAGTACTACAACACATAATTACCATCAAATTGTGTTATTGCAAGAATCATAAATGCTATTGATCCCACTAGGTTAAAAATTGTACTGGAGTAGACCATTAATAGAATGTGTTCAGAATGATATTGCTTCCATTAGTGTTATTTACAATAAAAACATTTTTTTAAGCAGAGGGGGGGGGGGGGCGCTCAAGTATTCGAATGAAAAAAAAACAACAAAAAAAAACCCCGGGTGCTTATAGGCGTTTGTCTTATTTGTAAATTGTATGTTTTTATATATATTGATACCGAATAAATATAATGATAATAATAAGTGTTATATAATATTTTTCTAGTATACAGTATAATGCATATGCCAAGGCCTCTATCCCCTCCACATTATTAATCCCAATCACTAATAGTGTGAGCAAACTTTTAAAGATATAAAAATTATTAAAAATGTCAGATACTGTAACTGAAGAACTTCTGTGCACATACCTTATCTGTACAGTAGTCCTTCTGTCGAAAAAAAAAAAAAAAAAATTATTCAGTAAATGGCAAGTTTCTCTTACAAAAATAAAACCTTTTCCAAGGCTGAAAAGCAGTGAATACAGTTACAACATAAAATATATAGAAATGTAAATTAGAAAATTGATAGAAGTAATGATTTTCAATAAAACACTTGGAATACAATTGTTCTGCCATTCCTTACCCTAATATGGTCCTGCCATTATGACTGTTCACTCCCCCATGCCTTCTCCTAACCCTTCCTTACACCACTATACTTTGATCCTCCCTACATTGGCCCATTCCTATCCCACAATAAGTACAAGTTTTAGAAAATGCATCAAAAATTAATAGACGTGCACTTACAGATAACCGGATGGTGTCCTCAAATACTTCATTCCTCAGATAGATGGACATAACTAATAGGTTAAAAAGAATACAAATGATGCAAAGAAATGTACTGTACTGTTTTATTACTGTATCATAAATCAGACATACTAAAGTTACTGTACACTCTTACAAAAAAAAAATGTTAAGAAATAGTTCAAATCCTTTTAGATTATAGGATTTATTTTCAAAACAAATAAACTCTACTCTATAAGTCTTAAGTTATACGTCTTAGTTTTAATGCAGTATGCATTATGTGTATATGTTTGTAAAGTGAGGGATTGCCACCTATCTAATATACAGTGATTAATTCACTATTGGTAATCTTTGACCATTGAAGGAATTTAAGAAAAATCTGTTATAGTTTGAATGGAATACTAACCTGCTGGGATAACCTGACGTACTCGTATAGCACTGCTTATTGTTACTAGGAAAGAATCTCCGCTGTCATCCCTATAGTTATCTAAAGTTGAATAAAACAAGATATAATTTGATATAAAATTATCTAGGTTCTGCTGAATGTTCTGTGAATGTCAAAATACAGAAAGAAATTAAACTGCTCATTTAAAAATAAATACTGTAACCTTGAAGGAGATACAGAAAACAGTTTTTAAACCAAGGAGATGTTTGAAGAAATAATTGGGAATGGCTAATAAGATAGACTTTTCACACAAAAAAACAT